CAAGTTGTGTTTTGATACTCTTTTTTTTTTTTTTTTTTTTTTTTTTTTTTTTTTATTTACAGGAAATATATTATATATATATAATGTGATCTAGCCAAGTGCTGCCAATATCATTTTGTTTAGAAAAAAAAAAGTAAAATGATGCATTTTGACAACCATCTCATTCAATTAATTAACCACCTCAATACAGGGCACTTTTACCCCCTTCCTGCCCAGACCAATGATAATTACTCAGTCATGCAACACTGTACCCAAATGTAATTTTTTTTTTTCCCCCACACAAATAGAGCTTTCTTTTGGTGGCATTTAATTGGGCAGCACAGTGGCTAAATGTTTAGCACTTCCACCTGGCAGTACTAGGGATTTGGTTTGAATCCCAACCATGGCACCACCTGCCTGGAGTTTGTATGTTCTCCCTGTGCCTGCGTGGGTTTCCTCCGGGTACTCCAGATTCCTCCCACACTCTACAGACATGCTGGTAGGTGAATTGGCTCCTGTCTAAATTGTCCCTAGTATGTGTATGTATGAATGTGAGTTAGGGACCTTAGATTATACGCCCCTTGAGGGTTAGGGACTGATGTGAATGTACAATATGTATGTAAGGCGCTGCGTACATTGACGGCACTATATAAGTACCTGAAATAAATAAATTAGCACTTTAATATCACTTAACATCGGATAGAGAAGGGCTGTAACAATATCCTCTTGATACTTCAGGTAGGTTATGGATCTTTGTGTGCATTTAGAAAAGATGAGATACGAATTGTACAGGGCTAACTGAAACAAGTAGATGGCAACCTTTATTATACCAATAGAGTGATCTCCTGGTGGCTAAGTATGGCTGTAACCTCTGGACATTTGGACATTCATATCCATTCATATTCTGCTTGTATCTGAAGGCCTGGCTGTGCTGTGAAAAGGGGAATTGTAGGTTCTGCCAAATTAGCAGGCGGCCACGTGGGATATAAAAGTACATCTAGGAGGCTAGTATTGGCTTTACCTCGTTGTGGATGGGAAACCTTGCTACTAGTACCTGGCCTATCATCTAGGAATGCGGCCCTGCTTGTACTTGCCACGGCTCCGGGATTTGTAGTGCTACTGGTGGATGCCTGCCTATCTTCTGGGAGCGCTGCTTGTACTCGCCACTGCGCTACTGGTGGATGCCTGCTCCTCCTCAGATTTCCTGAACCTCTTTGTTTGGATTCTCTCCTCCTCAGAATCCGTTGTTGACCCACTGCTTTCAACTGGCTCATACTTAGAATCTGAGTCTGACAGAGAGTTCTCCGCTACTCTCGTCTGTCTTACTCAGTATGTGGAAAGCCTCCTCACTGGTGTATAATTTTATAGACCTTTTGATGTTCTCTGGTACATATGTTTATCACTGGTTACAGATGTTGATTTGACACCGGTACACTGTGACAGATATTGATCACTGGTACAGGTGTGGATTTTACTCTGGTACACTGTGACAGATGTTATTCACTGGTACTGATGTGGATTTTACACTAGTACTGTGTGACTGATACTGAGCACTGGTAAACTGTGACAGATGTGGATTTGACCCTGGTAGGCCGTGACAGATGTTGGGCACTGGTACAGAAGTGGATGGGCACTGGTACACTGTGACAGATGTGGATCACTGGTGAAGATGTGAATCTTACACTGGTACACCTTGACAGATGTGGATGACCACTGCACACCGTGATGGTGTGTTGATCACTGATCCTGTGACAGATGTTGATCACTGATACTGTGTGACAGATGTGGATCACAGATGTGGATGATGAGCACTGTGACAGATGTGGATCACAGAGGTGGATCACGGGCACTGTGACGGGTGGATCACAGATGTGGATCACTGGCCCTGTGACAGATGTGGATCACAGATTTGGATCACTGGCACTGTGACAGGGTGATTTGTAACTCGCAGATCGGCTCTGCAGAGCCGTTCAACTGAACGGGGCTTTGTTGACAGCACATGACGGCTGTGATTGGACACAGCTGTCATGTGATCACAAAGGCCAATCAGAGGGATCTTCTGCTGAGCGGCGTTGCACTGTGTCCAGGGGACACAGGCACACAGAGAGTGCACAGCTATGTTCTGAAGGACGTTCAGGAACATCCACTCAGAAAGGCGAAGCAGTTAAACATAAAAGAATATCAGGTCACGAAAGCGTAACATAACAAGCATTGGGGGAGATTTACTGGTGCACTCAGAATCTGGTGCAGATCTGCATGGTAACCGATCAAATTCTAACGTCACCTTGTTCAATTAGGCTTTGGTAATAAAACCTGGAAATTGATTGGTTTCTATGCAGAGCTGCACCAGATTTTTCACCATGCAGTATTTGTAAATATCCCCCCATTATATAGTAACCGCAGTTATGAACTAGTAGTAAGTCAATTTTGCAAAACATGCAGAATTTGTATTGGGGATATTGTCTGTCATCCTAGATCTTAATTATTTTTGTTCAATGGTACAGTTTATAAACAATAACATGGGATAGCAATTTTATTTATTACAAGCTTGTTGAGAAGATTGATTACAGGAGATGGACCTAGTGGATGTAAATGATATTCTGCCAAAAAAAAAAGAACTTTAGCTAGACATTGTATATGTGCAAATCAAGAGGAAAACCCAGATTGGGTAATTTAAGATACAAAATTGGCCCAAATGAAGGAGACTTTGATAAAATATTACTTGAAATTTAAGCACAGTGGATTTTCAGGCTCAATTCCCAAACGTGGTCTGAAAGAAAGGTTTACAAATTCTCAGTTTATTAGCAATTAAGTAGTTTGACCTTTCCGAGAATGATGCGATCTTTTAACTGATGAAGCAATATTGTTATAACTAAATAAATAATGTACACGTGATTTCCAAACATTTTCATATAATTTAATTAAAAATATTGAATTATTAGGTTATGGGGATTCCTTGGAAGGTTAATTTTATAATTAAAAATGAATGGCTCTTTAAACTAATAGGTCAGAATAACATAAGAGAAGATTGTTAAAAAGATCAGAGCAATTAATATTATGAAAATGTAAATATAAAATAAATTGCATTTGTGTGTGTGTATATAATATATATATATATATATATATATATATATATATATATATATATATATATATATAGGTTATAATATATAAAAGCTTGTGATTTATCCCCCAGTGTAGCAGCAAACAAGTAACATGGTTTATCTTTATATAGAGAAATACGTCTGATAAAACATCCCTTAATAAATATAAAAGGCAGGTAAAATGCCATCATTCTAGTTTCCCTGATTATGGTTTCCATGATAACAGGAAGTAAAGGGCATTAAAAAAAACTGCAGCGGACACCAGGTAATGTGTTGATGTTGTTGGCATGTATGCATGCTTGCTTGACGTGAGGGCTTATGAGTGCATGGCATAATGACGTCATTCATGTCCACTGGAACACGTGTGTGATAATTAAAAGATATATAAAGAAGTATGCAGGCGAGCGCTAGTGAATAAAAATATATAGAAAAGCAGCTAGCACTTATGGTATAGGTAACAATCCCAATCAGTATAAACATAAAAGAAGTGCAGCGCTAAAATTACTCAGTAAATAGATTAGGTGGAACAATCAAGTGCAGCATAAATATATATAACCTAACGTATAGAAAATTCAAAGTCCGTGAATAATGTGACAATCCGTGCACTATAGTGCAAAAATCAATAACAATAACCGTGGTTATACATCATAAATTATTATTCCATTCCGCAATTCCATTCATATAGTGTCCTTAACGTTGGTAAAGTGCAATACTTTCAGCGTGCAGGATGTGAAAGTGCGCTCAATTGTAAATAGGGGAAATCCACCACCTTGGACGGATGTACACTCAACAGAAGGTATATGGTATCAAGCATGTATGTCACATCTGGAGGTGAAAAACGGCAGCCAGGGGGCTAATCAAACTGCTCCATCCCGGGTATGTGACATACATGCTTGATACTATATACCTTCTGGTGAGTGTACATCTGTCCAAGGTGGTGGATTTCCCCTATTTAGGATTGAGCGCACTTTCACATCCTGCACGCTGAAAGTATTGCACTTTACCAACATTAAGGACACTATATGAAGAAGAATTGCGGAATGGAATAATAATTTATGAAGTAGAATCACGATTATTGTTGATTTTTGCACTATAGTGCACGGATTGTCACATTATTCACGGACTTTGAATTTGCTATACGTTGGGTTATATATTTATGCTGCACTTGATTGTTCAACCTAATATATTTACTGAGTAATTTTAGCGCTGCACTTCTTTTATGTTTATAATTAAAAGATAGACAGGGACCTTTTATTAAAGATCGGCAAATATATGTTACAAAGCTTTATAGAATAGTGAGAGTAATATTTGAACGGAGAGGGAGAGAAGGAGAACTATAGAAAGTGATTTGATATACAGTATATTGAGAGACAATCTGCTATAGGAAAAGAGAAACTATAGAGGGTACCCAGATTCCTAGGTTTATACAGCCATCACTATTGGAAACCACTTTTATGTCAAATTGAACGTGAAAATTACAGGTCTAATATAAGATACAATTGTGTTAAACTTTACCAAATATATGTCATATTTTTTAATGGGTAGTATATGTGTGAAGGGCATCAGATTGTACAGTCTGGGCACTGCAAGCTTTGATGTTTTCATGGTAGAGTCAAAGACAACCCTTTCACCTCCCAACTGGGGCATGTAAGGGCCCACATCTTAGTGATTTGCCAATAGGAAGGTGTGGGATGGGTGGGACAACCTTTAACATTTTATATGGAAGTGTCAAAGCTTGTAAATTTAAAAGTGCAGTTGATTTTCATTGGTCCTGTTGACCTTTTACAGTATTCTGAAGGTGCAAGACAGGTACCAGTAGTTGTCTGCACGTTCTGTGTCTTGTCAGTTAACTTTTTATTTTAATGACTGTGGACATTATCCCAATACAAATGCTTTACTGTGCAAATTATCTTCTAGATATTGGGCTAACCTGAAGCTCTGGTTCAAGCAGAAAATCAGCAAAGAAGAGTTTGATGTTGAAGCAAGAAGGCTCCTCACACAGGAAAATGGTAGGTGGCAACAAAATAAAAATCAGCCATTTTCTTGGGGTATATCCTTACAGATGACTGATATATTGTTCATACTTTGGCTTCACCTGTATATATTTTGAAACTTCTCACTGATGCAGATACTGTGGCAGATGATGTATCCTGTGCGCACACAACTGTACTTTGAGGCTACTTCAGAGAATATGGGATGTTGATGTATGACGTGATCTGTGACTTATTCTCAGGTGGTTACATGCGTAGGCTGTAGAGGTCAACAACCCCATTGGTGGCATTCTTCCCAGACATGTCTGATGGATTCTTCAGAGATGTGTATGGAGGCTGATTAGTCTACTTTGTAAAAATCTTACCTCTCAGCCTGCAATGGCAGTAGGGTTTGTTGTGGAAGGAGAGATATCCCATTGGACAGCAGGAAAGCAGGCCCTAATGTTTAGTTTTTTTATTACTATTACAATTTGCTTAGTCACATCACTAATCTTTTCATATGGGCGTTGAAAATGGATTTTATACAGGGGATCACACCCTACTACACACAACTGAAATTACAGAAAACATTTGGTGGTTGTTGTGTTTTAAAAGCTGTGTTCCAACTGAGCTAAATATTAACATTCTCCAAGGAGAACACTATGGGGTTGTTTTTTTTTTTTTTTTTTTAGTGACTTTCACTTATCTCTCAAGATTATATTTTTAACTATGAGTAGCAGCTTACTCATCAAACTAATATTAATTCTTTTTATTTTTCAGTCCACTCCCATAATGATTTCCTGTTGGCTATTCTTACTCGCTGCCAAATTCTCATTTCCTCTCCTGGTAAGTTAATTTTATTTCTGCTTTCTTTTTATACAAATACATGGCAGGTGACCGCTAGACACCTAGAGCCCACATCTACAATGCAGGCATGCATGTTTTTATGGTGTTGGTTGATTTTGCTTTTTGAACTATTCTTTCCTTTTTATCTTAATTCATGCAAAGAAAAAAAAGTAGACAAACAATGTAAACATATTTCTTTCACAGCAGCATGGGATAGATAATTTAGGGCTTGTGAACTTTATTGTTCTGTACAGTTGATATCTACTTTGATTTAAAGGTATTAAAACATGCACCGGACTGTGGTTTTTACCATTTGCCTACAAGGCACTTATACCCCCTTCCTGTTCAGGCCAATGTTCAGCTTTCAGCGCTGTCACACTTTGACAATTGCGCGGTCATGCAACGCTGTACTCATCTGAAATTTTTATCATTTTTTTGAGACAGAGCTTTCTTTTGTTTAATCACCGCTGGGTTTTTATTTTTTGCTAAACAAACCAAAAACAACAGCAAATTAAAAAAAAAAAATTGTTTATTCTTATTTTCTGTTATAAAATTTTGTAAATAAGTGATTTTTCTCCTTCACTGATGTGCGCTAATGAGGCTGCTGTGATGGGCACTGTTAGGCGGCAGTGATGGGCATTGATAGGCATCACTGATGGGCACTGAAAGGCAGCACTTATATATGGCAATGATAGGCGACACTGACTGGCTCTGATAGGTGGCACTGACTGGCATTGATAGGGGACACTGATGGGTGGTACTGAAAGGCAGCTCAAATGGGTACTGATAAGTGGCAATGGTGTGCACTGGTAGGCACTGATATGTGGCATTGATGGGCACTGGCCGGTGGCATTGATGGGCACTGGCAGGTAGCACTGTTGGGGCTACACTGATCATCAGTGTCCTGATGATCTGTATACATGTACCCTCTGAGTAATGCCAATTACCGGCTCTCCTCTCCTCACGAGCTGTCACGCTGCCGATAACCAGCATTTCCTTATTTACATGTAATCAGCTGTGATTGGACACAGTTGATCACTTGACAGAGCTGACGTCTCCGGCTCTTTACATCCCAGGGACACAGCGCACCACCGATCGCGGAGCTGCATGCCCCTGGGGGCGCGAATGCGTGGTTAGAGTGGGAGGACGTCATATGGCAACGAGAGAACCTCCTTGCGCCCGTCATTTCCGTATATGGCAGGTGGGAGGCGGTTAATTTAAGCACTGTGTAAGAATAGATATTAGTGGTTCTAAAGGCTAGGTTTTTTTTACCTTAATGTATTCTGTGCATTATGGTAAAAAACTTTGAGTGCAGTCGCCCCTTCCCCCAGCCACCCCATTTACTCATACAGTGCAGGAGTCATGGGCTTCCACTGCTGTCAATCACAACCAGTGAAGAGGTATTGGGGTCGATGGACACACAGAGCCCGGCTCGGGAGCAAGCCTGTACGAGTGTCCCCATAGCAAAGCAGGGGGGAGGGGTCATGAGCTCCCAAGGGGGACCCCAGAAAAGGAGGATTGGGGCTGCTCTGTGCAAAGGTTTTGCACAGAGCAGGTAAGTATAACATCTTTGTTATTAAAAAAAAAAGTAAAAAAAAAAATGTTTAATTTTAGGTTTGCAATCACTTTTTAATATAACACCTGTTCTGTATTCCAATTTTACTATGTGTTACTTGAGCACCATTCTCCAAATGATTAATAAACCCATTTGCTGCATTTCGGCCTGTTAAATCTACCATTTTAAAGCGTTTTTTTTAATATCTTTGTTTGATAAGTGCTCGTTGATGATGTCTCAAAGTTCAAATTAAAAGCTGTTCTGCCTGTGCTTTCTGTTATCTTAAAATTTTACTAAACCCAGGACCCTGCATTCACTATATCTGGTCTCCCACAATACATAGAACATGGAAGTGCAATTATTTTAGTAAATATAAACTGCTAAATACCTTTTTCTCATCAGCAGTTAGAGCAGTCTCATGACTTCTATCAGTGTTCAGCAGAGCACTGGTTACAGCTTGTAGGAAGAGTTTTTATATTGCTCTAGGAGGATACAGAATCCCTGACCTCTGTCTGGGCAAGTGCTGTTTGGTCCTGTGCTAAGCACATGCACTCTCCCAAGAAAAAAAAAAAACCTCTCTAGTGATACACACCAAACTGAGCATGTGCAGAGTGACTCCACACGATATGTCTTATCAGGAGATAAGTACCGTATACAGCATATGTCTAGAATCCTCCCTAGGATAAAAAACTGATTTGAAGATGAGCATTTGTAGCTTTGTGCACCGCATAGTGCCTGCATCTCACCAGTAATAGTATTTTATACATTTTACTTGGTTGGCTTGTCCACTTTAAGGGTGTATTCACATTTACAAATGCATCCCTGCGATTAGCTTTGAATAGGCAGCCTCATTGACAGCAATTGGAGGCTGCTGGCTCTTGCAGCTAGTTGTGCCCACTTGCATGTATTCATTCATGTGAGTGATCGGCCCTGGATGCAGGCAGTTTTTAGTGGGGCTGCCTACTTTCATCTGATTGTGGGAACACCTGTTAGGGTTCTCACATATAATCACTGGCAGAAAGTATTTTAAAAGTGAATGCACAATACATTATTTACAAATTTATGAAACCCAGAACCCTGCATTCACTATATCTGGTCTCCCTCAGTACAAAGAACATGAAAATGCAATTATTTTAGTAAATATAAACTGCTAAATACCTTTTTCTCATCCAGCAGTATATAGCAGTTTTGTGACTTCTATCAGTTTCCAGCTGAGCACTAGTTAAAGCTTGTAGGAGGAGTTTTCATTCTCCTCTGTCCTATGAGGTTGCATGACCCCTGACCCTCTGTCTGGAAATCGCTCATTGGCCCTGTGCTGATCACATGCACACTCCTATGAAAAAAAAAAAAAAAATGCTCTCTAGCAATACACACCAAATTGAGCATGTGCAGAGTGCCTCCTCTGTACAATCAGCAGATATATTGGGGACAGTGACAGAAGGGAAGCATCAGAGAAGACAGGATCAAACAGCCTTTTTACACAATGTTGAGGATTGACCCCTTAGGTTCCACAGTGAGTATAACAAGCATGCTTTACTGCATATACAGTGCCTTGAAAAAGTATTCATACCCCTTGAAAGTTTCCACAGTTTGTCATGTTATAACCAAAAACATAAATGTATTTTGTTGGGATTTTATGTGATAGACCAACACAAAGTGGCACATAATTGTGAAATGGAAAATGATAAATGGTTTTCAAAATTTTTTTGCAAATAACTATCTGAAAAGTGTGGCGTGAATTTGTATTCGGCCCCCCTGAGTCAATACTTAGTAGAACCACCTTTTGCTGCAATTACAGTTGCAAGTCTTTTTGGGGATGTCTCTACCAGCTTTGCCCATTCTTCTTTGCAAAATAACTCAAGCTCTGCCAGATTGGATGGAGAGCGTCTGTGAACAGCAATTTACAAGTCTTGCCACAGATTCTCAATTGGATTTTGACTGGTCTGGACTTTGACTGGGCCATTCTAACACATGAATATGCTTTGATCTAAACCATTCCATTGTAGCTCTGGCTGTATGTTTCGGGTCATTGTCCTGCTGGAAGGAACCTCCACCCCAGTCTCAAGTCTTTTGCAGACTCTAACAGGTTATCTTCTAGGATTGCCCTGTATTTGGCTCCATCCATCTTCCTATCAACGCAGACCAGCTTCTCTGTCCCTGCTGAAGAAAAGCGTCCCCACAACATGATGCTGCAACCGCCATGTTTCACGTTGGGGGTGGTGTGTTCAGGGTGATGTGCAGTGTTCGTTTTCCGCCACACATAGCACTTTGCTTTTAGGCCACACTTTTCAGATATTTATTTGTAAAAAAAAAATTGAAAATCATTTTCACTTCCACTTCACAATTATGTGCCACTTTGTGTTGGTCTATCACATAAAATTCCAATAAAATACATTTACGTTTTTGGTTGTAACATGACAAAATGTGGAAAGCTTCAAGGGATGGGAATACTTTTTCAAGGCACTGTACAGACTGATTTTACTGTTGTTGATTTAGCAACACTTTAAAATGGTTATAAGCAGTTCCATATACCCAGTGAAGCGACTGGCCTCTGACAGTGGCCTACATAAGTTGTATCACTCTAACTGCCGTCTTTTCTTCTCCATATCCATTCATGCAGAATTTATATGGCTTGCCTGTGCTTTTAAAAAGCGGAGGTCAGTGGGGAGCTGAAGTTACTTACACTCTGCAGAGCTCAGTGAGAGCTGATTGGAGGGAAGGGACACCCCCCCCCACCCCCAATCCTCACTCAGCACACAATAGCAGAGCTGAGGCTGTCAATCACAGGCTGTATGCTGGAGTTTCCTCCCCTGCCAACTTTTTACCTCTTGGTGCCAAGAAAACCTGTCATAAGTGACTCTTGCAGATAGCAGAAATGACACTTGGTGCTCTGGATTGAGACAAGTACACACTATACAGTGAAGGAAGGAAGTATTTGACCCCCGCTGATTTTGAATGTTTGCCCACTCACAAAAAAATGATCAGTCTAAAAATCGAATTGTATTGTAACACTGATAGACAGAATAGCAACACAAAAATCAAAAGAAATGCATGTCTAACAAATTATGCATTGATTTGCATGTTCATGAGGGAAATACGTATTTGATCCCCTATCACTCAGCAGGATTTCTGGCTACCAGGTGTCTTTTCATACAGGTAACAAGCTGAAATTAGAAGCAGTCTCTTAAAGGGAGTGCTGCTAATCTCATTTTGTACCTGTATAAAAGACACCTGTCCACAGGAGCAATCAGATTCCAAATTCTCCACCATGGCAAAGACCAAAGAGCTGTCCAAGGATGTTAGGGACAAGATTGTAGACCTACATAAGGCTGGACTGGGCTACCAAACTATCGCCAAGCAGCTTGGTGAGAAGGTGACAACATTTGGTGCAATCATTCGCAAATTGAAGAAACACAAAACAACTGTCAGTTTCCCTAGGTCTGGTGCATCATGCAAGATCTCACCTTGCGGAGTGTCAATGATCATGAGAACTGTGAGAATCATCCCAGAACTACACGTGAGGATGTTGTCAATGATCTCCAGGCAGCTGGGACCACAGTCACCAAGAAAACAATTGGTAACACACTACGCCGACAAGGATTGAAATCCTGCAGTGCCCGTAAGGTCCCTCTGCTCAAGAAACACATGTCCAGGCCCATCTGAAGTTTGCCACTGAACATCTGAATGATGCAGAGGAGGACTGGTTGAAAGTGTTGTGGTCAGATGAGACCAAAATCGAGCTCTTTGGCATCAACTCAACTCGCCGTGTTTGGAGGAGGAGGAATGCTGCCTATGACCCCAAGAACACCATCCCAACTGTCAAACATGGTGGTGGAAACATTCTGCTTTGGGGGTGTTTTTCTGCTAAGTGGACAGGACAACTGCACCGCATCAAAGGGACGATGGACGGGGCAATGTACCATCAAATCTTGGGTGAGAACCTTCTTCCATCAGCCAGGGCATTGAAAATGGGTCGTGGATGGGTGTTCCAGCATGATAATAACCCAAAACACACAGCCAAGGCAACAAAGGAGTGGCTCAAGGAGAAGCACATTAAGGTCCTGGAGTGGCCTGGCCAGTCCTTAATCCGATTGAAAATCTGTGGAGGGAACTGAAACTTTGAGTTGCCAAACGTCAGCCACCGAACCTTAATGACTTGGAAAGGATCTGCCAAGAGGAGTGGGACAAAACCCCTCCTGAGATGTGTGCAAAGCTGGTGGCCAACTACAGGAAATGTCTGACCTCTGTGATTGCCAACAAGGGATTTGCTACCAAGAACTAAGTCATGTTTTGTGAAGGAGATCAAATACTTATTTTCCTCATGAATATGCAAATCAGTGCATAATTTGTTAGACATGCATTTCTTTTGAATTTTTTGTTGCTATTCTGTCTGTGTTACAATACACCTACCATTCGATTTTTAGACTGATCATTTTTTTTTTGTGAGTGGGCAAACATTCAAAATCAGCAGGGGCTCAAATACTTATTTCCTTCACTGTATAGAGGGATATGCTTTCTTCATATTTCATGTCTGAGATTTACAACCACTTTGAAATAATTTTCTCATACAAGTATAATTTAATTAGTACTCTAGATAGAATAATGATTCGGCATAATCACCTCTGTTCAGTGATCGGGAAGCTGACAAAGAAAGGTGAAATTCTGAACCAAGAGATGGTGTAGTCCTCACCCCAGCTATGTACTGTGGTAGAGGTGTATGAATCTGGAGAGCTGAATGGAATAAAATTCCTTTGGAAGAGTTCACATACATAAATATAAGCTGCATATTTTATTCCTTTAGCCTGTTCCACTGTAATCTAGAAAAGAGGAGATGTGCCTCAGCAGAGAAGAATAGGGCTAATACAAGACATGTGGGATGCAAAATGACTGGATGTTTCACCTTCTTGATTGAATTAAACTGTCAAAGACATACATGTGTGAACTGGTAATCCAATGGGTTTACCTCTTCATCATACTTATCGCACATATTCTAAGCCTGTGCTCTTATAAGGAACCATATGTCATTTATGAAAAGAAAACAACATGGTATTTTAAAATGTTCTTTAAAATTACTTTTCGGTGTGTTATAGAAGGACCCAGTGCATTAGGAATTGCGGCCAAACCTGGAAAACCAAAGGGCAAGAAAAAGATTCCATCTGTTCGGCAGAAGTTTGATGTAAGTTTCTTTTAGTGCCTTTTTGTAAAATTGAAGCTTTAAACCACATTTTCCTTATTTTTAAAGTGTGCATGTTATCTCAGGATTGTTTAAACAAATCTGTTTTAATAGATTGTGATAGCAATAATTCTCATTTTACCTTACCTTCACTATTGGCAATGCTTTCTTGCTGGTCGAACCAGAGAAATATGGTTCTATTGCTGCTTCTCCACTGACCATTGACATTCTGTGATTTTCCAGCCCATGAGGGAAAATAATTTGCTCTTTAGTGATTTTACCACTTGCTAGGTGCCAGCAATGGCAGAATCTCCAGTGTAACATTAGGTTTGAACTTCATCATATAGATCGTATACAGTGAGCTTGAGTGAAGGTTTAATTCGATCCTAATGGAGTGCTGGCTGTTAGTAGGTTTCCATAAAAACTTTAGGGTAGCCCTGAAATAGTGTAGAGAGTTTGAATAATTTAAGGTATACTAGCTGGTTCCCTATCACTGCTTGAAAGAGCCTGCCCAAATTGCGGCCATACACCCCAATGGTTTTCTACACGACATAAGAGGATCAATCTTGTCCCTCGTTCCTCCATGCCTATGACTCATGTACTTTCCCTAAGAGAGTTCCTTCTTAGCACTTCTGTACTGTGTAAATCTCATTGAGGTTTATTTGATCATTAAGGGGATAGTTAGAGAAGTACCAGTTAGAAGCACTTTTGACTTTATGGAAAAAAGTGGAAATTCACATGGAATTTACTCTGTGGATATCTCTGCCACGGCACACTTTGATGATGGAAGGGGGTTATCAGGAACCAGCCCTGTGCTAATGTATGTTTAGAAGAGAGTCAACGATTAAATGGAAAACTCCAGCTAAACCTTTTCTTCTAGTTTTGGATAATGTGTGGAGAGCTTAAACCGTTCAGGTTCTGTCTGTGCCTCCACTGTGGAGATCTCTCTTCAGTTCCTGTCATGAAAACTAAATGGAGCAGAAATCTCTTCAAAGTGAGGGGGGGGGAAAATTTAGTTTTTACATTTTTATTGGAACAGTTTTCCCTGTTGGAAAATTTCTACCTCCAACTTTAAACTCCCACTCCAGAGACCCGACCCACCACACACCCCCCCCCCCCCCCTTCCCCTAACTCATGCAGTCAGTATTTTTTGTTACCTTACCTTATGAAGCCAACTTAGCTCACCTAAGTCCCCCATCCAGGTCCCTCGCTGTCTCCAGTTGCGGGCGACTGCTCATCTAATGATGCAATGGCATCAGAGACTGCTAGTTGCCCCAGCTTTCTTTTGCTGACATTAGTCCTCTTTTGGATCCTGAGAGGACCCCACAGGTGGCCCTCTAATAGGATGTGTCCACATCACACAGGTGGTGACATGACCACCTGAAGGAAAATCTCATGCAGGAAGTAAACTGAAGGGGAGAAGGTTGGAGTGTCATATTACTGCTACTTAAGATAAGTAAAAAGGGGCATTTACGTAGAGAGAGGAGCATTTAATTGATGTAAAATGTTAGATTTCCTTTGACTTTTTGTCCCTTTTGAGAGAGTTAACCAGACCAGTCAGACTGAATTTCCCAATTACTCAGGCTTCAATGAAAACCTGAACTTCTTCCAAACATGCAATTTGCAGGTTTTTATTGGAACCTGACAAAAACCCACATCTGCTGTTTTAAATTATGCAAGTATGCTACAGGATAATCTGAATGTGGCCTGAGAAACTAATCGGAAATTATTTTCATTACAAGCTGCTTCACACCACACTTTTGTGATCCAGATGTGTTTTTGCATGTACTGTTCTTTTGCGTTTTTGTATTTCTAATCACTTCCCACTGATCATACGCATTTACAGTATGGGCCTCTTGATGGGTGGGCTTTAACGCTGAGTTGCTGCATATATGTGTCCCTATGTAAACAATAAACTGTGCTTAGAGTGCGCTTTGTGTGTGCTCCCAGCACAGTAACTGGCAGGTAATGGAAAGCCCCCGATGCACACATGCAATCTGGAGATTTCTGATGATGTGATTGCTGTGACTGCTTTTCCATCTCCCAGCATTTAGAACCTCTTAAAGGGTCAGGAGGCAGTGGCGGGAAGGGGTTAATGCATTCCAGTGCATGTTGTGCCCTCTTGTGTGTGTGTGTGTGTGTGTGTGTGTGTGTGTGTGTTTTTTTTTTTTGCGCTGTGTGTGTGTGTGTGTGTGTGTGTGTGTGTGTGTGTGTGTGTGTGTGTGTTTGTGTTTGTGTTGCTAAAGTTTCTTTGGTTTTAGTTGTTAGGAGCTTGCACCCACTGGTGTCCTAACGACCACTGCCACATCCCTGCTGTCAGCAGCAGGGAGGAGTCATCAGTTGTTTAGTAGCCAGCAACCACTGGCTTTCTAACAAGAATGAGTCCTCCCTGCTGTCAGCGGGGGATTCCTCACTGATAGCAGAATGTAAATAACAGAGCCGGCATTTAAAAGAAAATGCAAAATGAAATGTGAGGGGTCCTCTCCAAAATCCATACAAGTTCTTTATTAAACAAAAAATGGCCCTCGATGTACTGTAATTCCATCATCCATCACGATAAAAGCTGCCCGCCGATCAGCAGGAAAAAAAACCTGCTGCCCTTCGGGGGATGTGGCCTGGTATTGTTTGGGGGGAGAGAGTTCGTTCACCCCCTTTCCTGGCCTGCCAGGCTGCATTCTTTGCTAACGGTCTGCTATGAGTTTTGGGGTGACCACAAACCATTTTTTTAACGGCGAGTGCTAGCTCCTTAACAACTAATGACTCATCCCTGGTTACAGTATGCCCGACAACATTGTGAAATGCCTCACAGCTTCTGGCACCCAGTAATCTGGAATGACATGACCAAAATAAAGCTTTGTGTTACAACCAAAGACGCAATGTTTGGAGAGAGGTCAACAAGGCCTATATCGAGAAGAATACCATGCCCACTGTGAAGCATGGTGGCTCACTGATTGGGAGTGTGTGAGCTCTAAAGGTACAGGGGATCTTGTGAAAATTGATGGCAAGATGATTGCAGCATGTTATCAGAAAATACTTGCAGACAATTTGCATTCTTCTGCAAGAAAGCTATGCATGGGACGCTTTTGGACTTTCCAGCACGACAATGACCCTAAGCACAAGGCGAAGTTGACCCTCAGGTGGTTACAGCAGAAAATGGTGAGGGTTCTGGAGTGGCATCACAGTCCCCAGATCTTAATATCATCAAACCATTCTGGGGAGATCTCAGGCTTGCGGTTCATGCAAGACCACCAAAGACTTTGCATTACCTGGAGGCATTTTGCCAAGAAGAATGGGCAGCTATACCACCTGCAAGTATTCAGGGGCGTCATAGACAACTTACAAAAGTCTGCATGCTGTCATTGATGCTAAAGGAGGCAATACACAGTATGGAGAACTGAGGGTATACAGACTTTTGAACAGCGGTCATTTCAATTGTGTACTTGTTGCCATGTTTTGTTTTATGACTGTGCCGTTCCCTTATGACCTACAGTTGAATATGAATCCCATAAGAAATAAAAGAAATGTGTTTTGCCTCACTCATGTGGTTTTTTTTTTTTTTTTTACATACTATATATTACCAATTCTCCTAAGGGATGCAAACATTTGAGCACAACTGTAATTTTAGTGCTATATATATTTTGGAAACCTTCTAGTTTGAGAACAAGATGGGCTATATCTATGTGTGTTGTGTTTTTTTTTTTTTTTTTTCACAAGTTTATGTGACTGTACACCATCTTACTTCTTCTCCAGCATCGCTTCCAGCCCCAGAATCCTTTGGCTGGAGCTCAGCAGTTTGTGAGCCGAGATCCTCAAGAAGATGATGAGCTGAAGCTATGTTCCCACACTATGACATTGCCCACTCGAGGGCAGCTGGAGGGAAGGATGATCGTTACAGCATATGAACATGGGCTGGACAATGTAACAGAGGAAGCAGTGACCATTGTCATCCATGCTTTAGAGGCAAGTATTACGGCTTTATTCTTGTAATGTTTAACTTTAGACCGCAGCACAGTTGTGCTTGATTATGTTTTATTGTAGCACATTGCAGTTGTGTGACACTTTCATTTTTGTGCTGCCATGTTTCTGTACCAGGACAGAACAAACCTCTGGAAATGGGCTTTTATTTAAACTTTCGTGTGTTATTATGATGAGCAAAGCTTGAGCACCAGTACAATATACAAGTCTCTAAACCTTGCAGTATTTATGGTAATACCTTTCCAGCTTCAGTTTGTATAGACTAAGACGGGTGCGCAACCTGTGGCCCTTGGAGGCCTTTGATTTTACCCTCGACCTCAAACCAAGGAAACACATTTGAACTGGATGGACGCTTTTCTTTCAACCAGATTAACCATGTGACTTCTATTATATACTGCATGTTTGCACTTTTTGAAAGCGCACCAAAATTTCTGAATGCAGGAGTTTTGGTACGCTTCCAGAAAGTGCACCACACCCACACGATATAATAGAAGTCTGTGGCAAAGCGCAGCTAACTCACAGGAAAGCCACAGGTGCAGCGCAAACTGCAGTTCATCAGTGTGAAAGCAGTCTTATAGGGGGTTCAGGGCAGTAAGGGCTTCTTTACATTTGCGGTTTGGTGGTCAGTCAAACTCTATAGCTGAGACGTGTTGTTTTGTTTCATTTTTAATGAATATTTTTTAATACTTAATATTTTTTTTGAAGGTATGGTAAACAGTGATTTTTGTATAGGAAATGGCAGTAAACAGAAATATATTGTATGGAATTTATAAATGGTCTGTGCAAACTAATGTATGGATGAGTAGAAGGAAGCTACTCATAATATTAGTAAAAGATGAATCCTGATTGAATGAATGAATGACTGGTTTTGGCTGCATTGTGTGGGCTGCTCTATACATTATTAAATATGCTTGTAAGCGTTGCCTGATTTTTGTTCCATTTTAGTGTATAGATCCTGAGCTTGTGGATTTGAATATTACTGACCTCCATTTGATAATTACAGCCACTGGTAATGACCGCTATTTTTAAAGAGTAACTCAGGATTAAAGCTGCTCATAGATTTTATAGAATGGTTAATTACATTGAATGACTTAACTGCCCTAAGCAGGCCTTGCAGTACAGCACATACTCCTCACATACTGTCCGCCACCCCACCTCACCTCACCCCACCTCCTCCTTTTAAAAATCATCTCATTTGATGGTAGTAGGTGTAAAAGGTACCAGTAAAGAAAAAAAATTTAAACTTTCCATAAGCCTGTCTCCAAACGCTGGGTGTAACGTCACCATCCTTCCAGGAGGATTTTTGGGGAATGCAGAGCAGACACTCCATTGCAAGATCTTCTCTTGAAATTGCAGCTACTCTGTATTTCCCAGGATCTTGCCAGAAGGATTGTGAGATCACTCCACCTAGGCATTGTGGGTGGAAGACAGGGATAGGGTGGGTTGTGTGGTGTGTGTTTTTTTAATTTAATACACTCCAGGGTAATCTCGGCGAAGACCACTGCAGAGATATCCATTAACTTTGAAGCTCAACTTAAAAAAAAAAAAAAAAAAAACACCTGTCCTAAACACCAATGAACCCTTCAATTTACCTGCTCTATCTCTGTCCCCTTCCCCCTGTAAAACGGATATGTTTAACTGGCTGCATCTCTCCTAACAGTGGATGGCCAGCCAACCCAGAAGACACCCACAGTCAAGGGATCTGCCTTCTGAGTGAGCTGTAAACAACTTGTGTCTTTGGATTACTCAGAGTAGTTTCAGAGGAATAATGTGGCTTAGTTTACATAACTCTAGACTTTAAGTGACTTATTTTGTGGGAAAAGAATGAATGGCTTTATCTCTTTTCAGAAACATCTAAAAGATCTGTTGACATCAGTAGTATCACGTGACAAGCCTATCGCCTCAAAGACGGACACTTCCGATATGCTTTTGGCTGCAACATTAATCCTCAACCTTACCTTAGGAACAGTGTGGCAACTTACAATCAGCTTGCTGAATGGTAAGTGCAGAGATTTCATGTAAATAGTTTCATTTTGTAACTAACTATTCAGCCTCATACACATGATGAGAATATCAGACAAATGGTCGTCCATGTTGTGTGTGTTTTTTTTTTTTCTTTGCATGCTAGTCTCATATCAAAAACAAATAGGTTCCTACAATTACAAAAATTGTCATATGACCGAATACAACTACAGAAGCGATGTATTGTATTATATTCTTTTGTTTCTGTCTTGGTCGCTCAATTTTTTTATGGACGAATACTGTACTGATTAAATGAAAATTTATTTTGTGCTTGTCGCTTTGGATAATTTTGCACGAACTGTTGTGATCGCCTCTCGACAGCTACAGTACGTACTAATGATCAGATTATTGAACGATTGCTACAAATGCAGTGTTTTGCATCTGATTTCCTCATTCTGTGCACTAGGCTTTAGACTGTTCATTTTACCACTGTAAAAAGGAGAAATGAACCTAATATGTTCCCTTTAAAAATCTTTAGTTAACTTTTTCTTTAAACTGAAAACAAAGAAATGCAAAGCTTGCCATTGCTGACATCATTCTATAGCCTTATGAAATATACAAAGTGTTACTCTTGTGGTACCTACTGTGTGTGTTAATAGGGATGATGACAGCTGCTGCTAGCATGAAAATTGTGTTCCCACAATAAAGTAAAAATGTAACTGATGCAATACTGCGCTGCTGTAACTCCTAACTGACCTTAAAAGTATGTGACAATTCCATGTGATAACAATAAATATGGTAAATAAATAGTGGGTAATCTCTCTTGGAGACCACTATGTGATAATATAGCTGTAGTGATAACCACATCCTCAAATAAATAATATTATAAACCACTTCTCTCCAATGCAATGCCTATGGAGAAATCATAAAGTGCCCAATCAACACATAAATCAAAATAAAAAGAAGAAATCTAAAATCTCTTTTATAACTAAAAAGTTCATATATCAAGAATGCAAAACTCCTTCCTTGAATCTGGAACCATCACTATCCATAAAAGTGCTTCACTTTGTTAACCAGTGTACATCAGTTGTGCCACCTCAGTGCTCACAGAGCTCCTACCTTCTTGTAAATATATGTAGACCTGTAGGGGTTCATACAATGGGATTCCTCCACTGGACCAGTCTTCCAGCGGTCCTTGTCCACTAGGGATTCTCCTTACTTGTTCCCAGTAATTCAGCAGTAATTGGGTGCAGGTCCCTTTTTAAGGTTTGCCTGGATTCATGCAGCCATATTTGCTTAACCCATAAAGGGGATACAGGCCTGCGATAGTGTAGTATCTTAGTAAAGTGAAGAGAGTCTCCAGTGTACAAGGAACGCTGGAAGATTGGTCCAGTGGAGGAATCTCATTGTATGAACCCTTTTACAGGTCTACATATGTCTACATGAAGGTGAGAGTTCTGTGAGCACTGAGGTGGCACGATGATGTACACTGATTAACAAAGTGAAGCACTTTTATGGATGGTGATGGCTCCAGATTCACAGAAGAAGTTTTGCGTTCTTGATATGTGAACTTTTGAATTATAAAAGAGACTTTATATATATCTTCTTTACTTTGTTTTATGTGATGATTGGGCACATTATGACACACATTTACCTGCGTCAAGCGTTTGGGCGTCAATTCATTTCATTGGCCAGAATAAATGATTTATTCTGGCCATTGAAAAAATTGACGCTCAAGCGCTAAATATGCTTAACGTTCAGGCACATTTAAGAGCGTCAGGCGCTTTTTTTCAGGTGAAACGCCACTGCTCCAGGACACCCTGGTGGTGGGGTTTTTTGTGTGTGTGTGTTTTTATTTATTTATTTTTTTTTTTGCCACTAAACTCTTTCCACAAAACAATACTGAAAACCTATGTGGGTATGGACACATCAGATAATATGCAGTAGAGTTTAGAGGCAGTAAAAAAAAAACACCTCACACCCCTAGCAGTAGCTTCAAAAATGTCCAGTGTACATGAGGCCAAAAAATGCTAAGCCCCTGGCTGTATTGCAGAGTCATTACATTGAGATGCTGACCTTGATCAAGTATGTAGGTCAGGAGATCAACTTTACTTGCTACATGCTTTTTCCAGATCAGTCACTCAAAAATTGTTGAAACCAGAAACAGCCAGGCAACTGGCATTTTTAGAAGGCGGTAAGTAATGTAAGCCTTCTCATTTCTTTCAGTTTGAAGGAGGGTGGGGGTGGAATAGGTGAATTGTATTGAAATTTCTCATTTTAAAGTCTTAAGCCAAAAACAAAAAGGATTGCTCCTCTACAGTATCTATGGAGGAGCAGCAAATACACCCTTGGACAGTAGCATTATCTGGAGAGGTTGGTTCAGGTTCAGAGGGTCAGATGAACTAGTAGATTTAGATGGGTTTTACACAAGTGACTAACAAATTAAAGTTGAACTCCAGGTAACACTAAGCAATTACAGGATCTTGGTTTTCCTTTTTGTGATGATAAAGATTTTTTCTTTTTTAAATTAATAAAAACTGACTATTGTAAGCACCCCTCTCAGTGTTACAGTTCCTTGAAAACGTATTTATAGCCCTTGAAATTTTCCACATTTTGTCATGTTCTCTCTTAGATTGTAAGCTCCAAGGAGCTGGGCCCTCCTAACCCTCTTGTAGTCTCTGTATTGTTGCTGTATTGTCTTCCTTTATATTGTAAAGCGCTGAGCAAACTGTTGGTGCTATATAAATCCTGAATAATAATAAGAAGATTAATGTTACAACCAAAAACATCAATGTAGTTTATTGGGATTTTATGTGATAGACCAACACAAAGTGGCACATAATTGTGAAGAGGAAGGAAAATGATAAATGATTTTCAAATTTTTTTACAAATATCTGAAAAGTGTGGCGTGCATTTGTATTCAGCCCCCCTGAGTCAATACTTTGTAGAACCACCTTTCACTGCAATTACAGCTGCAAGTCTTTTGCACATCTAGAGAGTAACATTTTTGTCCATTCTTCTTTGCAAAATTGCTCGAGCTCTGTCAGATTGGACGGAGAGCATCTGTGAACAGCTATTTTCAAGTCTTGCCACATATTTTCAATTGGATTTATGTCTGGCCTTTGAGTGGGCCATGCTGATATATGAATATGCTTTGATCCAAAACACTCTATTGTAGCTCTGGCTGTATATTTAGGGTAATTTTTCCTGCTGGAAGGTGATCCTTTGCCCCAGTCTCAAGTCTTTTGCAGACTCTTAACAGGTTTTCTTCTAAGATTGCCCTATATTTGGATCCATCCATCTTCCCATCAACTCTGACCAGCTTACCAGTCCCAGCTGAAGAAAAGCATCCCCACAATATGATGCTGCCACCACCATGTTTCACAGTGGGGATGGTGTGTGGTCAGGGTGATGTGCAGTTTTAGTTTTTTCTGCCACACATAGCATTTTGCTTTTAAGCAAGAAAGTTAAATTTTGGTCTAATCTAACCAGAGCATCATCTTCCACATGTTTGCTGTGACCCCCACATGGCTTCTCGCAAACTGGACTTCTTATGGCTTTCTTTTAACAATGGCTTTCTTCTTGCTACTCTTCGATAAAGGCCAGATTTGTGGAGTGCACGACTAACAGTTGTCCTGTGGACAAATTCTCCCACCTTAGCTGTGGATCTCTGCAGCTCCTCCAGAGTTACCATGGGCCTCTTGGCTGCTGTTCTCCTTGCCCGACCTGTCATTTAAGGTGGACGGCCATGTCTTGGTAGGTTTGCAGTTGTGCCATACTCTTTCCACTTTCAGATGGATTGAATAGTGCTCCTTGAGATGTTCAAAGCTTGGGATGTGTTTTTTTAGAACATAACCCTGCTTTAAACTTCTCCACAACTTTATCCCTGACCTGTCTGGTGTGTTCCTTGGCCTTTATGATGCTGTTTTTACACTAATGTTCTCTAACAAATATTTAAGGGCTTCACAGAACAGCTGTATTTATACTGAGATTACATTACACACAGGTGGACTCTATTTACTAATTAAGTGACTTCTGAAGGCAATTGGTTCCACTAGATATTAGGGGCTGAATACAAATGCACGTCACGCTTTTCAGATATTTATATGTAAAAATTTTTGAAAACAATTTATTATTTTCCTTCCACATCACAATTATGTGCCAATTTGTGTTGGTCTATCATATAAAATCCCAATAAAATACATCTCTGTTTTGGTTGTAGTGCTGGTTATAGTTAAAAGTTGTAATTTTTCTCTAGTTAGGATTGTTATGATTTATCGGCCTCGCTTTTGCTGGACAGCTTGATCTGATAAATGAGGATGACGAATAGCAGACTAACTCGCCCGATCACCAAGTGTAATTAATGCAGCCACCACATTTTAAGGATTGGAGAGCTGCAATATATTGAATTTTGGATTTAATACCATTTCAAATAAAGCATGATGGATGGATATGTGTATGTACGTATATGTGTGTGTGTGTGTGTGTGTGTGTATGTATATATATATATATATATATATATATATATATAAAAATGTGTGTGTGTGTATATATAATGTGTATATATGTATGTGTGTGTATATATAAATTTTCAATTCTCAAGGGCCATCATCATACCTATTTTATAGTAGTACTACTCTTAGCAACAGTAATCCTTGAACTAGGATGGCCAGCTAGCAGTTCTTGGAGTACTCCCATTTTTGTCCACTAGGTGGTATGTGAATACACGTTAGGAGAGCAACAGTTCTGGCTGCAGAAAGTGCTTTGCTAGTTTAAGTGAATGTTGGACATTAGTTTGCATTAAAGAGCTTCAGAAACAGTTTGTGACGGAACCGTAGGTGGGACAGAACACACAAAGAAGATGGTAAACACACAAAGCTTTAGTGAACTATGAAAGGCACTCAATCAGGACAGTTCATGGCACTCCGTGGGCTCACGGGGACTCAATGGGACCTTGGCGATGGGGTCTGACCTCAGCACAACCCCACACAGCTTTCTAGAGACAACATTAGGTTCACGGGGACTCAATGGGACTTT